CTACATACACATAACACGACACGGGTCAGGTGATGGGACACATGACCCTCTATGAACAATAGAACTAATCAAGCCTGTTGTTACTGTAGGTGATGGCCCTCTTTTGCATGTGACTAACCTGTTTGTCCACCATGTGGAGGCGGAGCTTATAAGGCTGAGTTCACCTGAAACTCATCAGACTGAAGAAGTCTCTTAGAGGAGAGACGAAACGTTTCACTAAAGAAGAACCATCCAGAGGACCTACTGAGTTTTTCTTTTTGAGTTTTTCTACCTGGATTACTGAGACACATCAGGACATTTTGATCTAAAAATGAAAAAGCATTCTTTCTTTATTTAAAGCATTATAAAACTCAAAGCTTGCAGGTAAGGTTTAGAATGAAAACTGTGTAGTTTTTTCTCAAGGTGGGGGAAGGGAGCAAGAGTAAACAATTAGCTTCAGTGCATGTGCTTAACCCAAAACTCTGCAGAAAACCAGTGAACATGGTCATCAGCAWGGAACTAATCACATCTCCTGCACAGCACGTAAAGTAGTTCAATCTGAACTGCAACACTGCTATGACCAAAAAATAAATAAAATTAAAWAAAACAGTTTTCATGGATAGAAAAAAATACTGAGGCATACTGTGATCTGTTACCTATTATTTTTGAAGAAACAAGTTTATGAGGCACTTACCAAGTTGTTGCAGTGTGACTGACTTAACCTGTGCAGGAAGACTTTCTGTCTGCAGCAGACTCTCATACGCCTCTTTAGCTGATCTGTACTTCTTCTGCAGGGAAACAACAATTGAGACAGAGGGTTGTTAGAGCCAGACAGGAGGAACACGGTTTAATGGTTCTGTCAGGACACACACAAAGACACACACACACACACACACACACACACACACACAGACGGGGGTGTGTCTGCGTGGCAGAGGAAAGGCCAGACAACATGTCAGGCAGCTTTAAATGTATGTGTCTGCACCTAAATGAAGGTGTGTGTGTATGTGTGTGTGTGTGTGTGTGTGTGTGTGTGTGTGTGTGTGTGTGTGTGTGTGTGTGTGTTGACTAAGAGGAATGACTTGTATTTTAGAGAAACTTGAGCTGACGGTATGCTCTATGACTGTTGTACTTGAGTTTGCATCAGTAGCTACAGACATGAGAGCATGGCTTAGTGCTGTTTTTCCTAACAGCTCCATCAATGTTTTATGTTAATATATTTGTTTAAGTTTGAAATGTCTATGAGGCTCACTACATGCTGTTGCACAGTCCTGACTCCTGAAACAACAGTGCAGAATGTCAGATTTTATTTTATATTTACATGTAGATGTGGTGAAAAATTTAGGATACCACCATTTGTATTACACCACAATATTTTTAGGTGAGCAGAAGTAAAAGAGCAAGTACTGTTTTTATTCAGGTATAATGTAGGAAAGCATGATATAAACAATATACGGTAGAAACGATATAAATTTGTCCTATGATAGAGATCTGTAGTCTACCGGCCAACCGCGCAATTGTTTTTGATGATGTAACCAGCTGGAGTCAAAACAGAGGAAGCAGGAAGCAGCCTGGCTGAGAGCGCAAATGAAGAGAGGAAAAAAAACATAACTTATCCAGACCTGGTTCAGGTG